ATAAATTCATTAACAGTTTATTATTTTAGTTAATCATTTAGATACTGCTAAAGCTTCAATCTATTCTGAGATAGGCATTTCCTATTTACTTTCATTCTTTGAAAGCCTTCTCAATTTATTATGTGCTTATTTCTTCCCTGTATGCAGTAATTCCTACTTATTATATAGATTAATGAAAAGGAAAAAATATCAACAATATAAAATAGACTAGTATGTGAAATTTAAAAAAAGCTGAACATGTCAAACATGAAGAGAACCTACTAATTGGGAGAATTTTAATTTTGACAAGAACCATGCAAGTATTTAAAAAACAAGTTACAGACAAAAGACTGGAGAAAATTAGTATGAACTATTTTGCAACACGGAGAATTTTCACATTGAAATACTTTCATATTAAAGTCAAATGCTTTCCTTGAGTCCAAATGCCATATTCACTCAGTCTGAGATACTGAGTAGGCATGAGGGGTAGAAATATACACAAGACTCCATCACCTGGCCATCTCTGCTTTTGGGGACCTCAGAATTCCATGCGTGAGAGAGAAACCATTATGATGTAATATGTTCAGTGTTTAGAAACAACTTTTAGAAGGTGGGAGTGGAAAGAGGAATTTATAGAAGGCTTTGCAAAGGAGATGTTTGGTTTGAAACATAAGGAAAAGGCAGTTGGTCTCCAAAAGAGGACAGCAAGGACAGTAACAAAGAAGCACAAAGGAGAAAGAGCAAGGTACGTGTGGGGAATATAAGCACAAATCATAGATGACCTGACAGAGCACACTGAAAGTCTACTTTCAACACAATAGGAAAATAGAAAACTACAAAGCTTTTAAAGTAGATGGATAACAGGTAAGTGTGTTAAAAAAAATGAGTTCAAGTGGATGGGTAGACAAAATGGGAACAGAAAGACCATTTAGATATGTTTTGTAATGATCTAGGAGATGTATTTTAAGGGGTCTGAGTTTACAGACCTTTAATAGAGAAACAAATTCAGGAAATATTTAGAAGGTATATTTAATAGGACTCAGGTATGGACTTGGGGATGAGGATGGCTAGAAAGAATTAAGCTTGATTCCTAGATTATGAGCTTGAACAAATAGGTACAATACCCTGAAACAGGGAACACAGAGGGAGGAGAAGGTTTGCAGGGGGAGCAGGGACAGTGCTAATACAGGGTTAGAGATGAGTGTGGAAACCTAAGAGGTCATACCGGTAACTTCAATCTCAAGGTCTACGAGAGAGATGCTGTCTTGAATTACACATTTGGGAGTCTCAGGCAACTAACGTAGAAGACTTCCAGCAGTATCTAATTAATATTGCATAAGTGCAACTATCATGTCTAGAATAAATTATATTTATTTCCTCCAGAAACCCACCGCTACCAAATGGGCTTCTTTACGTCATGAATTAGTCATGAATTATATTTTCCTATTTATCTATGGCTAGCATCTCTTCTTATCATTATACAATTTCTTCCTTATAGAAAGGGAAATGTCTACCTCTGTTATGATAGCATTCACATTATAATTGCGTCACATCATTCAGAATTAAGAAAAATAATTGCATATACAGTAACTCATCCACAATGTCTTCTTTCTAAACATGTGAAGGAGTTATTTGCCCTCTGTTTGGTTTTTCTTCTTTTTAGATCATAAAGTTGCATTCCTTGGAAGCTTCTTTGATGAGGCATGTTTTGTTGAATTTTTTTTAACCTAACAGATGTTTGGGTAGTTAAAATTCCTCATGAGTATGGTATCCTGTGGTTTTCACAACCTAAGTGTTACCTCAGGAATTTTCCTTTCTTGCTGTCCTCCAGTCCTGGTGGTCTATAGGGGATACACATTATGAGAGTCCCATCTCATTCCATACAAATTTCACACCCACACTCTTTTAAAGTTGTACATTTCCTCAGCATTATAAGTACCTATTGTGCACTACCGAGATATTTAACAGCTTTCCAGTCTAAATTCCTCCCACACACACAACTCAAATTGCTTTTGAGCAAAAGGATAATCAGAAAAAGAAGAGATGAGTAAAATAATCTGTAAGGCTTTACTATTTCAAGTTAAGTATTTCTGCCATTTGTACTTTTTGTGCTTATGTTTGTATCCACGCACACTCAGCATGAAGTAGAGAGTTACGGCTATGGTACAAACAATTTAAGGAGAAAAGGGATTTGGCTTCAGTTATCTAGATCAGAGTATGTGGGAGAAAAAAATGTTAGCTTGAGTTGGCTGAATATTTTTGCCTTCCTTCACTCTAGTATACAGCAGTAGATTCGGATTCAGAAAGCAACCCAATTTATTTCTCAGCTTGCATTCCAACTTTGCTCCCTGCATCTTCAATTTGAGTACTCTTCTTTATGAGCTCAGAGAGAGTTTAACATATTTTCTTATTCTAAAAGCCATTTTAGAACATTTAATTAATATGTATTATTCCAACTGAGTGGTCTTTTTATTTGCAATATTCAAATGTTGAATGATATGATCTCAAACTAGCCATCAACTTATCAAAGAGGCTCCAGAGTTTGATAAAATGTTCCGTTAGTAAGTGCTTAGGCACAACTTGATGCCATTAGAATAAAATGCACAATTCTGAAACAGTGATTTTTACTAATTTATACTGTTGTTTAGTCTTTTCTATAATTCCGAGAAATCATTCATTTTCATCATTTTTATCTTCCTATATATTGCAAAACGACGTAACACTTTTTTGGAATCAATGACAGATAATAAAAAACTTATTTTCTTCATCCAGATTACTTTCTATGTTTGCAAAATATCTGTAATACTTTCCATCTATGGTATGCAGAAACATCAACATCTAAGCATTACTGACTTTTAATCTTAAGAGCATTACTGCTCTTTAAAATTTTTCTTGCTTGACTGTTCTAATTTCTCTTTTTTTTTTAATTGAAGCATAGTCAATTTACAATGTCGTGCTAATTTCTGGTGTAGAGCATGATGATTCATTTATACATATATATTCCTTTTTATATTCTTTTTCACTATAGGTCATTACAAGGTATTGAATATAGTTCCCTGTGCTATGCTGTAGGACCTTGTTTATCTATTTTATATATAGTAGTTAGAATCTGCAATATCCCACTCCTAATTTATCCTTCCCCACACCCTTTCCCCCTGGTAACCATAAGTTTGTTTTCTATGTCTATGAGTCTATCTCTGTTTTGTAAATAAGTTCATTTGTGTCTTTTTTTTTTAAAGAGATTCCACATGTAAGTGATATCATATGGTATTTGTCCTTCTCTTTCTGGCTTACTTCACTTACAAGGACAATCTCCAGGTCCATCTCCAGGTCCATCCATGTTGCTGCAAATGGCATTATTTTATTCTTTTTTATGGCTGTAATTTCTCTTTCTCTTATTCTTATATGTCAGTTCACCATATATTCTGTCTTGCACTAATATATGTAGTGTCTTTTTGTCTTTCATATCAAATGCAATCTCAATTATATCTCTGTGGCTTAACATAATAAAACTTAACTGTAATTTTATGAAACTCAAATATATTTATCATTAGAACAATATTCTCTTCATTCCTGAGACTAAAAGAAGAGTGATCAACTCATTCTCATAATTTATACAATTAGAGTAACTGGAAATTCATTGAAGGCTTTAAACAAGGAAGTAACATCATCTGATTTGGGTTTAAAGAGATCAGCTTGAAAACTAAGGATGTCAGGTTAATGCAGTGGTAGCAATAATGAAGAACAGGACTAATATGACAGCAGTGCAAGTGGAGGGATGTGTTCAGACAGCATGGTTGAAACAAATCATCAGCAGAGTAGAGGAGGAAAAGAATGCTGCCTGGATTTTCACTTTCTGCAGTCAGATGAGTGATGGTGGACCTTAATGAGGGAAGAAAGATTGGAGGATGAAAAGGTTTAGTGCTTATACCACACTCATTTTGAGAGATATATTTGACACATCTGCCCAATGGTATCAGTTGCTCCAGTAAGTATACTGAATGGGCTCTAGGGAACACTGGAACTGGAAGTAGATACTGGAGAATAATGACTATATAGGTAGACTTTAAAGCCATAGGACAGGATAAGGTCACTTAGGGTAAGGTCTAGGTGTTGTGTGTTGATAAAGGAAAGGGCTAACTACAGATCTCTGAACACTCCAATACTTAGATTTAAAGAGAGAGAGAGAGAGAGAGAAGAAAAAAAAAAACATGCCAAGGAGACTGAGAAACAGCTATCAAGGAGGTTAAGAGAAAAATCAGAAGGGCAGATCTTACAGAAACCAGAAGTCCAAACACCACAAAGAGGAGACGTTGGACAACTGGGAAGAAGGCTAAGTTGTCTAGATTCCATCTCAAATGTGGAATTGCACTAACAAGCCTTCATTTAACATTTACTATAGAAACATTATGCCAGGTACTCTGCGGAATAGTAACAAAGAGACACATTTAGTGACCTAGAAAATAAAGCCTCTAGATCAAAGTTTATCTCACTATTTGTAAAGGTCTACAGTAGCCTACATTTATCATGGAAACACTGTATGTATGAGTGTGTGTGTGTGAGTGAGTGAGTGTGTGTGTAAGCCTAAAGTCACTGAAAAGGTTGTAAAGCTGGCTTAAAAGCAGCATAGCTTCTGGACAGGAGGGAAAATGTAGGCACAGAGAAAAGGATACTTGATGGTAAACAGTGTAGCCTAGTGAGAGACCACAGGAGAGGACCACAATGCTTTGTTGGAGTCAAAGACTCTAGGACCTTGGCACAACTCTGGGAGTTAGAGAAAAGCCCTAATAATAGACAGAAATTGAATTTCCCACTGGGATTCAATTCAGTTAAAAAACAAGTATGTTATTATGGTTAATGATGTTTAAGCAAGTAGGGTAACCAGTTAGTTTTAAAATACAAAACTAAAGTTGTAAGAGCAATCTTTACCTATACTTTGAATGATTTCTATGTAAAAAACACATTTAAAGAGCATTTTCTTGAATGCAGAAGTATATATACATATACAGGATGTTACTTACGGCCAGGCAGGGTTTGGGTAGATATCCAACTTGAAGCGTTGCCATAGCCAGCATTGGTACTGGCGGCCACTTGGAATCTATACCATCTATATTTCTTCAACCCGTATATGGTCTCTTCAGTTAGGTCAGCTTCATAGAGGTACTGAATTTTTTGATATTCAACACATTCTTCTGATTCCCATTCTCCGCATTTTTGAGCCCGAAGTTGAGTGGTAATCTTGTAATTTTGGAAGTAGCCAAAGATACTGTCAGGTCTCATCCATGTCAGTGTTGCACTAGTTGACTGAATGTTGGAAAAAGCAATATTTGTGGGAACACTGGGAACTAAAAAGTAAAGGGAAAAATGAAAAACAACTGTAATTACCAAACATTGTGTAAACAAAGAAAGAAACAGGATTTACAAATATTTCTTTACTGTGCACATGTGGTGATCTCTTATTTCAACTGCCCTTAGAGCATTTAATGAACAGAAGCTTGAGGTGATGCTTCAGAGACCAATGTCTCAAAGGGTTACAGGACAAAACAATTGTGATTTTTTTTCATTCCTAATTTTGCTCCCAAATTCACTCACAAGTTGTTTACAAACCTGAAACTAACACTGTAAATCAACTACACTTCAATAAAATGTTTTTTAAAAAATAAAAAAAAATAGTTTTGACACAACATGAAAAAAAAGCTTACTTTAGTTCCCCATATAAGCAATGGTACAAAGGAGAGCTGCATGCTCATATAATCCTATGTATTTCCTAGGTATGGTCTGAGTTTTTAATATTCATTTCCCAGACAAAGACATCCTTATATTTAAATGTCTAGATAGACACAAGTACATCTTATATATAGTAAATGTTGATTATAAAATAAATAGATAAGATCATTAAAGAAACTGATATAATTAGTTAATTTTTATCTTGCATATATTCAAATTTAGTAAAATTCTTTCCAGAGCATCATTAAGCAAACTGGTATTAACACACACAATAAAGTATCTGTAAGTCACCTACAATCACATGGTCCTACTTGGAGTCACTCATTAGATTTCATATTAACCACTGGTTTCCTATATGCATACCCTGCATTAGGCTCTGAGCCTGGTGTTAGGAAATTAAGTTACATAGGCTTATGTTTTCAAGAAACAGCCATTTATCAGACAAATAATATAAGCACACTATGGTTAGAAATATAAAAGAACAATGAATTAGGTGATAAGGCCACTTTTGTCACCTATGCCTGTCCCTGTATATGTGCAAGAGCCTTTGCTCAGAAGGCTGAGACAGAAAGAATGATAACAATGACTTGTACACAAATAACACAACTGATAAAAACTGTACGTTGCCAATCACATTGAAAATAATAAAGTTAATAAATAAATGATGCCTGTATCTATCGTATTGATTCAACATTCAATAAGTATCTAATGAGCATCTAATTTATGCCAAGTACTACTGGAAGTGCTGGGATACAATGAATAAAACAGACAGAAGTCCCCACTCTTTGGTAATTTATATTCAGGAGGTTTATATACAAGTATAAACAACTATTATATACAGTATTTTGGATGATGACTAGTGCTATGGGAAAAAAATGGAAGAGAAGAAAGGAAGAGTTCCAAGGATATTGAAATTTTAAATTGAGTAGTCAGAAAGAAAGCCTCACTGATTAAGAGACATGAAGTTCCTGATGAAAAGGGGGGAACTAACCATGAATATTTGGAGGAAGAACATTCCCAGCAGAGGGAGATGCATGATTAAAGGCCCTGTGTTGAAACCATGCCTGGAACATTTGAAGAATTAAAAAAAAAAAAAAAAAGGCCACTGTAGCCAGTAGGAATTTGGAGGTATGAGAAGGAACACTGAAGACTGGATTGTGTATGATAGTGTAAGAACATTGTTATGACTTTCACTTGAGTAAAGGAGTTACAGGCTGTAACCTTTGTTTGCACAGAGTCACTCTTGCTACTGTGTTGAGAACAGACAAGGGAGAGAAGGGCAAAAACAGGGAGAGTAATTAGTAGGCCACTGCAGTGTCAACACAAGATCAGTGATGGCCTGGACCAGGGCTGCAGCAGCAGAAATGAAAGGAAGTATTCAGGTTCTGAATATAATTTGAAGGAGGACTTGCTGATGTGTGACATGTGGGGCGTTAGAGAAAGAGAGGAGCAGGGGAAACTCTAAGGCCTTTGGATTGAGCAAACAGAAAGACTGAAGTCACTATTAACCAAGAAGAGAATGACTGTGGAAGGAGCTTTGGGGAGTAAGATCAAGAATCTACTTTGAGCATGTTAACTTTCAAATGCCTGTCAGATACCCAGAAGGAGTTATCAAATAATAGATGGATGCATGAGTCTGGAGTTCCATAGAGAGGTCTGGACTTGAGTTAAAATTTTGGATTTCCTCTTAAATTTTTACTGAATTATCTACTGACTGCTTTTATATATGCCTAAATCTGGAAGAGAAGAGAAAGTCTAATGCACCAGAAAACTACTAGTAAGTTACTTAAAGCCATATGATCAGATTCAATTACTCTGTTTTCAAATACTAATGTTTATCATCAAATCTTACTGTATTTCATCAAACACTAATCTTTAAAAAAGTAGCTTTATGAGCACAACACTTGATACACTACTTACAACAAACTCCCTCTCCTATCTTTAGTTATTTAAAAGAGAAATTGGAGAAAAAAGTTATTTTTTAAGGAAAATGTAAAATTTACTTTTATAGAGGAAGACATTTTAGAACTGGCTAAAAAGTAGAATTTCTACGATTTATTGAAATCCTTCGGCCACTAAGTTTGAATTCAGCCCACTTGGAGATAAGACACATTTTCAAAATATCCTAATACAAAGCAGAGAAATATGACTGATTTGAGGGGTTCAGGAAAAGTTTTAAGAGAAAATGTTGCATGTGAGATGAGATTGCACTTATTGTGAAGGTAGAGATTCTCGAAGATGGGGTAATGTGATCTAAGTCAAGTTTGACTACAGCTTATGGCTCATCTTGGCAATAACAAAGAGAAATAGTCTAGGGATAGACTATGTCAGAGGGACTTTTACATAGCCTGTCAGGTGATGGAAAGCTATCAAGATGTCAGAATGAGATGTTCAGAAGTACATTTTATCAGGTCCAGTCTGATGACCGCACAACAGGAAAAGGGACAAATTCATAGACTATTTGATTAGTTCACCAAAGAAGACATAAGATGGTAGCAATAGGAAAGAAGTAAATTTTTAGATCTATTTGGTGGTTGAATCCATAGAACAGGCAAACGAATCAGAAGATCACGGAATCAGAATTTGAAGGCAGCTCAGAGATGCTCTTGGTCAACTTGTCTTTTTATGGCTGAACTTTATGGAGGCAGACATCCCCCAGGAACCCTGGTACCTACAACTGCTTCCAGCCTTTCAACCAAACATTAATGTAAGTGATGATGGGAAAAAATTTGCAGCTGTAATTAAGAATCCAAATCAATTTACTTTAAGATGGGGAAAGAGTACCCAGTGGACCTGATTCTACAACATGAGTCTTTTAGAAGTGAAGAGTTTCCTTTGCTAGTTACAAAAGAGGAAGTAAGGTATTCTAGGGAGGAGATCAGATTCAAAGGACAAAAATGTCTCCATCGCTGGCTTGGAAGAAGGTCAGGGCCACATGATAAAGAATTCAGGACATCTCTAAGGAGCTGAGGGCAGCCCTTGGCTAAAAGCCAGCCAAGGAAATGGGGATCTCAGTCCTGCAACTGTAAGAAACTGAGTTCTGCCACACCACGTGAGCTGGGAAGAGGACATGCACTCCACCTGAGAATACAGCTGATCAACATCTTGATTTGACTTTGTGAAATCTTGTGAGACTGAGGAGAGAATCCAGGCACAGCCCGCCCATCTCTAACCCACAGAACTGTACAGCACGAAATGAGTTGCTTTAAGCCACTGAGTTTGTGACCAAAAAAAAAATCAGAAAATGAATTCAACTTCCCTCGACCAAATGACCAATCTCTACTTATCTAGCCTGTGCTTAATTTTTTAGAGCAAAGGAAACCTTAAAATCTTGAGAGGCTTTATTTTAAAATAGATTCCCAGACAGCTTTATTAGTTTGCACAGCCTTCGTTATTTTGAACAGCTATCTGTCTTCTGATAAATTCTAGTTCTACACTGATAACCCACCTCAAATAGGCCTAATCCCATTTTCATCCCCACTTCACTCCAACATTTATACCAAAGATCTAGAAAGGTTTTGTTTTGCATTCATATCAATGAAAAAAATTGAGCAATTACTCTAAAATGTATTTTTATACATTATGCACATTATATACATATATAAATGCCAAACTACATGTTAGATTGTGTCTCTAAAGGTCTAGATCAATTTCTGGAACAAAACAAGCATTTAATAAATATTTTTTCAAAGTATCAACAAATGAATGGAAGGGTATAACAAGAGACTAGATTTAGATAGATGGTCAGGAAAGGCTATCCTGATGAGTTATAATTTAATCAGAGATCTGACAGCTCAGATGTAGCTTCCCTGGGTGAAAAACATCAGCATGTGTAAAGACTCTGAGGGAGAAGAGAAAGTGGTACATTGGAAACACATGAAGAGGCTGCTACATCCTCAAGGAGATGAATACGCAGACAGAAAGTCGGAGATGTCGGCCAGAATCAGATAATGCTGAGCCTTCTAGACTGGATTCAAGATTTTTAGTTATATCCAAAGTACAGTGGGAATCTTGGCAAGTTTTATATTGACTTTTCATTTGAATTAAAACCATAGACTGCTCTTTCCCCGAGAGAGCCGGGGATGATGATCCAGACATCTCCCTTTCTTTCCAGTCCTTCACCAACTACCCCTTCCATGTTTCAGTGTCCTTCCCCTGGGGTCTACTAAGCAAATAGAAGTAGGAAGAACAAAGGATGCTTTAGCTATCCAACGAACTGGAGAAAGCAGGGGAGGCTACCCTTTCCCTGTCTTTCAGCAGGAGTGATGACTGGATGCCTGTGACTCTGTGATCAACATTTTACCCCCTCCAACGTTCAGATTTGCAGAAAGAAGACTTTAATGGCAACGTTTGTTGCACAATAAAAATTTTCAGCAGATGGATATTGTCCACAGACTCCAGTATTCTCCAAATCAGCGTTGCAGAGAAGAAAAGGTCTAAACAGGATTGTGCTTTAACTTGACACATAAGATAGTGCTTTAACTTAACAAGATCCATACAAGAATTATTTTTAACCTGACTAAAGGGAAAGTGACAATAATTGCAGTTGCCTCCCATGTGACAGGCACAGTGATGGACTTTGTTCAGACACCCAGGGTCCAGTACACACGGGCACACA